TCACGTGATGACTGGCCCCGCCTCTTCCTCTCGGTCCCATATTGAACTCGAGTTGGAAGAGGCGAGTCCGGTCTCAAAATGGAGGTAAAACCGCCGCCCGGTCGCCCCCAGCCCGACTCCGGCCGTCGCCGCCGCCGCCGGGGGGAGGAGGTATTAGGGGGAGAGCGGGGGGTTGATGGGCAGTGGCCGGCGTGGGGGGCCTGGCTCGGTGGGAGCGGGGAGGCCGGGTGGACTGGGTTGGCCGTCCCGCGCTCTGCGTTCAGACGGGCGGTGGGGGGGAGGGGCAGCGGGCCTCGGAGGCCTCCTCGGGGTTCCTCCCCCGTCTCGCCTTCACCTTCGGCTGCCCAGGCGGCCCCTTGGAGGCGCGGCGTGGCTGGGGAGGCTTCGAGAGGGGAGCTGGCTCGCCGGTTGCGCGGCCTCAGAAGCGAGGCCGAGGGCGGCATGGCGGGCCTCGGCGGGAGCGGTTGGGAGGAGGCGGTGGGGGAGGGGAGGGGACGAGCAGGCACATCCGGGCGAGCGAGCAGGCGGGCGGCGGCCACATTGACACTGATCCGCTGCCGCGTTACGAAATGGCGCATTGGCCCGCAATGGCCGCCGCCTCGCTCCGCCGCCGGGAGAGAGCCTGGGATTGGAGGGAAGAGGGAGGAGGCGGCCCGGCAGAAAATGCTGCAAATGGCCTCGAAGCCCGGGGCGTTGAAGTTATGCCGGTGGGTTTCTAGGCCTTTACAGATCTCTTCAGCGACGAGAATTCATTAATTCTCTGGCCTGTTCTTTTTTCCTCAGCATCCAGTTGGAAATACGAGATTTCTCAAAAGTTTGCTGCTTTAAAATACTTTCTAATCTGTTATTCTTGCTAAAGTACTTAGAATTATACTTCTTAAATCGTCATGTGGGTGAGGTACTTAGTATTTCAGAATTTGAGTGTAGATGTTAAGTAGGAACTCACATTTTTTTTATCTTTTTTCCCACTCTTTGGGTCGGCTCTGGTTGTAGTTCTCTGGATTTTTGCTTTAGAGGGCTGCAACCACAGTTACTTTTGTGGGTTGTCAATCAAATGCCTTTATCCAGTACTTGAAAAGATGAAACTAAGTGAATTAATGCTTTAGGCTATTAATCATTTAACATTTTTTTCTAGCAAGTGACAGTCTCTTCACTTTAAATGCCTTAACATCTCTACTTCTAGAAGACACAGGAAGACATTAGAAAGTAAATGTGAGCCCCTTTATCTGAGGACTTTGGATGAGCCAAATCTTAATGCATGCATTAAATGACAGTTCATGTAATTTGTTAAAAAGCTTTTGACTAAAGTATAAAACAATTTCAGGTCACATCTTAATTTTTTGAAAAAAATCTCAATTTTTGTTTTATTGTGCTCTGTTCTTTTCTGGTCAGGCAGTGTATGCTATACCTAATGTAGGTCCTACTTGCCAAATTGTTGTAACTCTAAAATTGTGTTGTTTCTGTAGCACGTAACAAACATTGGTTACAGAAGGCTAATAATAAGTGATGGACTTTTTTTCTTTTTGGGGTGGGAAAGGATGCTTTAGCTTAGGATTATTTTAACATTAATTTGCTTGAAACCGGTAACTTTCTCTGAAATTGCCACTTGAAACTTTTAAGTTGTATTTCATCACAGTTTTGTGATTTTAAAATTAAACACTTGGGATGTAGAATGAGAAGACTTGAAATGGCATGGATGGAACATTGCTTCTCCAACACATTAGCAACTTCTAAAATAATCTACACTTTTAGTTGCATCTTAAAGATGAAGGGATTTCTGATTACGGAGTTGTCTTGTATTTCAGTGCAGCTGATGTGAGGTTGGCATTTAAGAGGCTGAGTATAGGTTTCCTTGTTACCATTTAGTTCCTTTAATGTAACAGTCCATATGCCTAGTCATATTTTTAACTGGACAAAGTGTTAATGTTACAGGAATTTGGTGTTGATTTTATTATTTGTAATAGGTTGAGGTTTGTGGGTCTTTCTTAGAGATTCATCCTCTATAAGAAATAGTTAAAATGTATTGGATCTTTTTCTCAGGGCCATGATCCAAAGGAACCAGAGCAGTTGAGAAAACTGTTTATTGGTGGCCTGAGCTTTGAAACTACAGATGATAGTTTAAGAGAACATTTT